TCTAATTGAAAATCGAATGGACGAGAAAACCCCAGACCGCATTCACCGCGTGACGGCCGTTTCAAATAATTGTATCTAAACGAACTTTTCCATGGCTTTGCCGTTTATTTAAATGCTTCTTCGAATTCTTCTTCGCCGATGTGAACTTAGCGGTTATCGAGATACCAAGACTCACTGCGAGTGTAGTAAGAAAGAAGTTAAGTCTTACCACTATCAAAACTCCCAAAGTATTTGTCACTAAATTACTGAACGAAAACGAAAACGAAAACGAAAACGAAAACGAAAACGAAAACGAAAACGAAAACAAAAGCAAGAAAAACCCTACTGAAATCGAAAGATTGTGAATAGTTATATGAATCCCAAAGAAGCGTTGATACTAAGTACAGACTAGGCGTGGTTCAATTCCAGGAAGCGTTTTGTAATTGTTATTATTTTATGCTCAACCCCTCTTATCGGCCACTTTCGAAGGTCCCGAGCTGGAACAGCCTCTTGTTTCATTTACTTTTTGCATACCTCTAATCCTACCTCAAATCACAACTCGAATCCTGTAACCCGAATACTAACCCGAATCCTAACTCGAATCCTAACCCGAATCCCAACTCGAATCCCAACTAGAATCCTAACCCGAATCCTAACTCGAATCCTAACCCGAATCCTAACTCGAATCCAAACCCGAATTCGAATCCTAACCCGAATCCTAAGCCGAATCCTAACCCGAATCCTAAGCCAAATCCTAACCCGAATCCTAACCCGAATCCTAACCCGAATCCTAAGCTGAATCCTAAGCTGAATCCTAAGCCGAATCCTAAGCCGAATCCTAAGCCGAATCCTAAGCCGAATCCTACTAACTCGAATCCTAACTCGAATCCTAACCCGAATCCCAACTCGAATCCCAACTCGAATCCTAACCCGAATCCTAACCCGAATCCCAACTCCAATCCCAACTCCAATCCCAACTCCAATCCCAACTCGAATCTCAACTCGAATCCTAACTCGAATCCTAACCCGAATCCCAACTAGGAAGTTAGACGTCCTCGGGGTATTTTGGTTGCTAAGAGCGTTTGGCTCGTTATTGTAACAGCCTTTAAAACTAATGCCGAAAAAGAGCAAGAAAATACGATTTATTGCTCCCAATATGCAATAAACAGATAATGATATCAAAACAATTCTCAGAACTGAACCCCAAGAAAATACATTCAGGATATTTAATTTATGTTTGCCTTGAACAGCATGGTTTCGTCGGATGCCGAGCCAAAACAACCTAAATTTCTATGAATTCGAGAGTTTCGTATAAAGCGTTCATCGAACAATCCAAGCTGAATTTTACATATGATTTAGATTAACATTCGAAGGTATTATGGCTGGAATTTCAGATAAATCCGAACACCCAGTGCACATGAAAATGCGCTTTGCAAACTAAGGCTAAAATTTAAA